TAGTGGTATCGACGAACAAGTTCTCAAAGTGCTTTCTTTATTTTATAGTTTATGGACCAGGCCAAAGTCTTATATATTTTTGTTACATTGTCACGGTCTTTGTTATGCATAAATAGAGTACAAAATATATAGTATTATATGATAAGCCGCACCCTATGCGGTGTGAAGTTTAATTTAAAAAATAAATAAATGATGTAAATACAAAGAAATCCTTAATATAATTTTGGTGGTTTTTTTATCTTTAAAAATAATAATGATCGCTTTTTCTTTAATTGGTAAATGTGTACATTTTATCTTTTATCCACCAAACATGTACAGTTTCATAATGCAGTTGCCTATTGGGCATTTTTAAAATTCCGATTCCCATATGCAAATTGAGTTTTTGAATAGTTTTAAAGTAATGATTGTCAGTAGGTATGTTGGCGTGTCTTTGGTATTACTATTAACTAGTATCTTCTCCGCGCAAGCGCGGAGTCAGGATCATTGTTGTTTACGTGTATTTCTTTTATTATTAGTTTATTGAATTCTACTAATAACACCAAATAATAATGAAATCGAAAGAATACAGCAAAAGCGTAAACTGAAATATTGTATATATAATGTGTTAAATATTATTTATATGTGAAGTAAGGTTTATAGGAATTGTAAAGCTATAATATAGTTTTTAGTGTGTAAAAATAGGTGTTTATCTTATTTTTTTTTTTTCTGTAAATAGTTTTTATACCTGAGTCCGAAGGTCAAAACTTGATATAGTTCTGTATTTATAGTATTTATATTTGTACTAAACGATTTATCAATTTGAAAATAACCTTAATCTAAGTAAATATTTATTGTTTGGATTTCATTAGATAAGTTTTTATAAATGTTTTTTTTTGTAAGTTTGGGTTTTGTTCATGAATGGTGTGGCATTTTTATTTACGACGTTGTCGACTATAGGATTCCATTCGCCAGAGTCTGATAAACCATTAGACTTGGTGGTGGGAAATGCTTTTATATCGGAGGTTAAAACTTAATATAATTCTTTATTTATAGTACTTATATTTGCACTAAACAATTTATCAATTTGAAAATAACCTTAATTTCAGTTAATATTTTTTGTCTGGTTTCATTAGATATGTTTTTGTATATGGTTTTTTATAAGTTTGAGTTTTGTTCATGAATAATGTGAAATTTTTATTTACGACTTCGTCAATTGTAGGAATCCATTCGCCGGTGTCTAATAATCCATTAGAGTCGATTGTGAAAAATGCTTTCAATGAAATTATGGTAGCTATTAAAAATGTAAGAGAATTACATATCCATTTAATAAATAACGAAAAATACTTAAATTTTGTTTTTTAATTTTATTTCATATACATAATTTTTTTTAAAACATATATTAGGAAATATGTCATAATAGAAAATATATATGATAGTGCCCTTTTTGTTTTTTGGATTGTTCGTTTTTGGATCCATTTTTTAATTTTTAATTATTTTTTGGTTTGAACCCGTTAAGCTGTAGGGTTTGTCCCACTATTTTGGGCTTTAAAACAATAACCCCAAAAGAAAAAAAAACATAAAAATATTAAAAACAAAAAGCCCGTATGATAATAACCTAAACAAAAAAACCAAAAATACATGCTAGCTGCGTGGTTTGAACCCACACACTTAAGAACTTAATTAAGCGATTTATACCATTCAGCTAAAGTGTAATTCATTGTCTGTAATCATTTTAGAAAGATTATGGACTTTTAAAAATTAAATGCGCATAACCCACAAAATGCTGACGCGGCGCATTGTGGAGCCTGAAACTCTACTATTATAACAAAGATTACAAAATATTCAACATTTATAATGTATTCAATTACTTTCCAATTATAATAAACTAACTAGATTTTGACCCGCGCTTGAAAGCGCGAAAATTTTTTATGAGTAAAAATTTATATAATTGGATTTTGTCTTAATTTAAAGAATGTTTTGGTATAAAATCAGTTCATCAAAATTTGTGGTGATGATTGTTTTTCATTAGTTTCAGTTTTTATTTTAAGATTTTAAGATTTTGTTTTTTAGTTTTTAAGTCTCTACTTTTGATTTTCAGATTTTGGTTTGTGTTTTTAATTTTTAGACCCGTTGAGTTAGTTTGAACTGATATTACCAACAAACAAATCCTAAATAATCGAACATCTAATTTAAAACTGAAAAGATGACAAAATTTTTTTGCAATAAATAAACAAAAGCAAAAAAATATAACTTGTGTTTTCAGCTTTTGGTTTTGATTTTTGTTTTTAGATTTGGTTTTTGGTTTTGCTTTACATTTTTTAAATCACTAAATTATTTAAGAAAAATAACACAATAAATTATTTAAAAGTTACCATTGAAATTTATCAAAATAAAATGATTGTTATTTAAAATAAAAAATACATTAACATGTTTTAAAGTACATGATTTAAATAAATGATTAATAATAGATAATTCTGTTTTGTTAAAAATATTAAATACCTTTTGAGCCTAAAAATAATAATTGATTTTTTTTATCTATTAAGGTGGAAAGTTTATTCAATGTTTTTTGAAGTTTTTCCTTAATACTAAGCCCAAAAATCAAAATATATAATTTGTTCTAAAAACAAAAGTAAGCCCAAGACTATATCCCATAAACAACCATCAATTTAGTTTAAGTAATGCGGTTCAATTAATTATATGGCTTGTGTTACATATTTGTAACACTCTAGAAAGGGTCCAAATTTAAATGACAATTTGTATCAGTAGATAAAAAGAATGACTCTATTTTAATAGAGTAGATGCAACATTTAGTTCAAAATATATAGAAATATATGATTTAAACTGTTGCCCAAGTGATATGTAAACCTTGTGCCATATAAAGAAAGACTTACTTAGCAAGGATTTACATCCCCTTATTATTAAAGGAGAAACAAAATAAAGAGAATAACCTTTAAAAGATAGATTATTTACATTTGTATCATTTTGTCTATGTGTCATAATGAGAATCATTCTTAGCCTTTTTTGATCTTAACCTTTTCATAACTAGGCTATTTACATAGTATGCCACTGGACTATCTTATTGAATCATTTGATCAACTGTATAGTTTATTGTATTTTTTTGTAAATGTATGATTTTATCTCATTTACGGTGGTGTCTTCCACACCTGATCATAAGCATTTTTTCTATTATGTACATGCAAAGCACTAAAAAAACTTTTTAGATTTCATCGTGATTAGTCTACGAAAAACAATAATGATTTTTTTTTAGCTTTCATCGGTCAAAGGTTGAGCTATAAAGAAGAAACACATACCAAATTATAATTAATAATAGTAAATTACATATATGAAAGTCATCGTATGTTGAGTTTCGCCTTATGAAACAACATAACAAATTTATAATTTCTTAGCAAATTACTTATAGAAATTCTGGGTTACTTTTTATAGTGTGAAGCAAAGCACTTTCATACAATTTTTTTATAGTGTGAAGCAAAGCCTTCGCATACAGTAATACATATATTTATATGCAATGTATAAATCCCTCTTTTAGCTGCACATACAGTAATACATAGGATTTAGAAGTCATCTCAATAGAAAGAGAAGAAGAAAAATCAGCGGCGCTCTCTGGAGACTCCAATGGCGATTCTGATTTTTTCTTTGAAAATCTGATTCCTCTGCTTCCATTCACTCATTGGTGATAGATCTGACGGCATAACCAGAGTACCCGATCGTTTTTATTCATTCATCACAACCACGGCTTCCTGTTTTACTTGATCTCATCTTTTCCTTCCGGATCACGCAAAGCTTGAACAAGATCACTCTCTCTGATTGCTCTTATGGCATCACAGAAAAACAACCATCGTTTCACAGAAGAGGACGATGATGACGAACCAATCTTGCTCCCGGATGAAGCAGACGAAAACCTAATCCGTGAATATCGATTGTCTCTTATAGGCAAGATCTTAAACCCACGAAAACAAAAAGTAGAACGGCTTATTGTTGCGATGCCAGAGAAGTGGGGGATGATGGATAGGATCACGGCATGTGATCTGGGAAATGGCCGCTTCCTTTTTAATTTTGACAACGAAGAAGATCATAATGAAGTCCTATCCCAGGGGCCGTTTCACCACAACTATTGTATGTTCGTTCTGGTTCGATGGGAGCGTATCGTAGCAGAAGACTACCCTTCACTGATTCCCTTCTGGATCCACTTACAGGGTATCCCCCTCCATCTCTGTACTGAGCTAAACTTACAAGCTATTGGAGACAAGCTTGGGAAAGTTGATTTGATCGATGCCACATAAGGGAAGATTAAAGTTGCGATTGATTCTAAAAAATCACTGAAGTTCTATTGGAAGTTGCAGACGCGGGATGGTGATGACATCAATATTAAGCTACACTACGAGAAGCTCTTAAAGCACTGCACTCAGTGTGGCCTTATGACACATGAGACGACAGACTGCATAAAGAAAGCTCCTTCGCTGACTAACCATGGGAGAGACTCCGTGTTTGACAAGGTTAGGAAGGAACCACACTATCCCACGGTCCAACCAATGCAAGTAAACCAACATGTTGGAAGCTCTAAGGCTGGATCTCAGTGTGTCTCTGAGAATGAATATACACAGCAGAGAAGTGATCTATCAAGCTCTCAAAGTAGAGTTCATCGCTCGTCCTACTCATCTCGTGCTATAGCCTCTAGTGGACTGAGAAATGCTAATGATAATAGACGCGAAATAGCAAGGGGGAAAGAGGCCGAATCCTTACTCTTATGTCAGAAAAAAGATGTGGTGAAAGAGAAATCTTGGACGAAAAATACTTCCTTGCCTCTGAAGATAAGGGAGACCAATGCTGATGCTTCAGGATCGAGTTTGGCATTGAACACATATCATATGTCTGTACTTCCCTCGCATTGGACATCGAGAGATGCTTCGCCAAAAGGTGTACAATCGGATGTACGTATTCATTCTGATGAGAATGTCACATTTAGGCTAAAGAAAAACATTGTCGAAGGGCATGATCAGCATATGGTACAAGCTGAGGACCTTATTCCTCCGAATGATGCACTAAAGATTGACGCTTTAAGTGAAGATTTCAACAACGATGATGAAGAGATGCATGGAGAGTTGACTGGTAACGAGCTAATGATAGTCCAGCGCGACGATCTTCTGGGAGATGAACTATATGAGATGCAACTAAACAAGGGAGAATCACCTGTTGGGTATGAATCCGATGCAAAACATGAAAAACACAGCCAAATCCTTATGATTGAGGCAGCGCGAGAGACAAGTGGTAAAAAGGAGATTGCGGTTATAAAGGATCCGCCAAGGAGTACTGCTCGATCTTTGTTCCAGGACGAAGCTGTTCGTAGAGCGTCGCCAAGAATCCGAGCAATTGTTGCAAAAGATACTGGTGGTAGTCGAGTAAGGAAACTCCATCAACAAGGCATGGCAACAAGGAAGCAAAACACAGGTCCAAGTACACAGATGAATGGTATGGCGGATGCCAAAGATCCGCCAAACCCTTTTCAATGAAGACAATCAGTTGGAACTGTAGAGGGATTGGGAACGACCTCACAGTTCGACGCCTTACGGAGATGTATCAGAAGCATCGCCCAGGACTCTCGTTCCTTTCTGAGACGAAGAATAGGAAGTTGCTGTTGCAAAACATTCAGGCTGACTTAGGATTTAAAAAGTTGTTTACCGTTGAGCCTCTTGGCCAAAGCGGTGGTTTAGCTTTGTTTTTTATGGATTATTTGCAAGTTGATGTTTTATTTTCTAATAATTGGATGATTGATGTATCTGCAATCATTGATGGAATAAAAATCTACATGACATTGTTTATGGTGACCATGTTAAAGAACGTAGGGAACTAGTCTGGGAACTTCTTACGCGTTTCTCAACAATAAAAGATGGACCTTGGAGGAGTAGAGAGAGCTGATAGTTCTTTTTTGCCTTTCAAGCAAATGATAAGTGATTGTGGGATGCTGGAATTCCCATGCACTGCAATCAGATGTCGTGGGTAGGGAAACGAAGAACTAGGAGTGGAACCAGTACGGTTAGGTGCCGCCTTGATCGCACATTGTGCAATGAGAAATGGCATGAAAGGTTTCCACTCTTCTGTTAAGTATCTCAGACTATGGGGCTCGGATCATCGTCCAGTCCTTGCAAAAATTCTGGTTAAGCCTTTCAAAGCAAAGAAGAAATTCAAATTTGACAAACGATGGCTGGACAGCGACGAAATAGGGCAAGTGATTCAAGATGGATGGAATTCTCCTGATCTCCCATCTGATGCAAATATTTCGGCACATGTTGCGTGCTGCAGGAGAGCTCTAAGCCAATGTATGAAAAAAAATGATTTAAATTCTGAAAAGCAGGTCGAAGAATTAAAAGAAAATGTGGAAGCCATGTATCTGGATGATAATGTGACCACAGAGGAGCTGACATTGGCACAAAAAGAGCTCTCTGATGCTCTTAAGGCAGAGAAAATATTTTGGAGGCAAAAGAGTAGAGTATTATAGCTTAGAGAAAGAGAAATGAATTCCCAATTTTTTCATAACCTCACGAAGCAGAGAAGAGCAAAGAATAGGATTACATGCTTGAAAGATGAGCAAGGAAATAATGTGGAGGATGAGGAAGGAGTGGTTGCTGTTGCTACTAGTTACTTTAGATCTCTCTTTGAGACATCTAACCCATCTGAACTGGATGAGGCCCTGGGAAATATTTCAGCGACAATTACTGATGATATGAATGCATCTTTTGTGACTCCAGTCACAGAATGGGAAATCAAACTTAAGCTTTTTGCGATGCATCTTGAAAAGGCACCAGGGCCTGATGGTATGAGTGCCTTATTTACCAGAAGTTTTGGGATATTGTTAAAGACGACTTGACTCGTATGGTCAATGAATTCTTATTTGATCGGATTATTGCACCTGGATTGAATGATACCAATATTTTCCTAATCCCAAAGAAAGATAAATCCACAGAGATGCCCAATTCCGCCCCATTAGCTTGTGTAACGTCAGCTACAAGATAGTCTCTAAGGTCTTGTGCCAAAGACTGAAGAAGATATTTCCGGATCAAATATCGGAAATCCAATCAGCCTATGTTGCGGGTAGAAAGATTACAGATAACATAATGATCGCCCAGGAAATGTTTCATGCGCTGAGAACAAAACCTGGAGGACGTCATAAGAGAATGGCAATAAAAATAGACATGAGCAAAGCATATGACCGAATGGAGTGGATCTTTATTCAAAGGGTTTTAGAAAAAATGGGATCCTCTAATATTTGGATAAACTGGATTATGTGATGCGTATCATCGGTTAGGTACCAAGTCCTTATGAATGTTCAACCCTAGAGGAAACATTGTCCCTGCAAGGGGCCTGCATCAAGGAGATCCTTTATCTCATTTCATTTTCATCCTATGCATGGAAGCGCTTGTTAGCCTTTTAAATCATGCAGAAACACAGGGGAAGATAACGGGAATGCGCGTCTCACGCACTAGCCCCTCGGTATCTCACCTGTTATTTGCTGATGATAACCTGTTCATCTGTAAGGCGGAGTCCCGTGAATGTGATGAAGTTATGAAAGTGGTTAAGGTCTACGGAAAGGCATCTGGACAGTGCATTAATTTTGAGAAGTCATCGCTTCTATTTGGGAAAAGGGTGCCAGAAATTATTAAGCAGGAGATTAAGGACACCTTGTCCATTGATAATGAAGGAGGCATGGGTACTTACCTGGGAATCAAGGAAGACATAAGTGGATCAAAATGTAAGCTCTTTGCTTTCCTAAAAGATAGATTGGACCATATAATTAATGATTGGTCAGCCCGGTCATTGTCACGCGGAGGCAAAGAAGTTCTGATTAAGGCAATAGCTTTAGCACTTCCGACATACGTGACGTCTAGTTTTCTTCTTCCTTTGGAGATATGTGACAAATTAGCAAGTGCGATTGCCAAATTTTGGTGGAGTTCGAATCCGCCTAAACGAGGTATGCACTGGGTATCATGGGATAAACTTTGTATTCCCAAAGAAGAAGGAGGAATTGGGTTTAAGTTAATCCACGAATTTAATTTGGCTATATTAGCTAAACAACTATGGAGATTACTTCAATTCCCGGACTCTCTTCTTGCAAGAGTTTTGCGAGGCAGGTACAATCGACAAAGCTCTCCACTGCGGGTGGTTGAGGCATCTTACCCATCATATGTGTGGACACGTTTGATGGCTGCCAAACCTCTCTTAATGCTGGGAATCAATCAGAAAGTTCATTCACGATATCAAATCCGCGTGTGGGAAGATCCATGGATACCATCAACCCCGACAAGACCGGCTCGTGCAGTTAATCCAATAGTAAATCCAAGAATGATAGTTAGTGACCTGATCCAGGGTTCACCGAAGGTATGGAATGTGGAGATGCTGGAGAATCTTATTGTCCAAGAAGATGTTACACTTATCCGGAGCTTGGCCATAAGCCAGTCCCATAGAGAAGACAAGTACAGATGGAGCTTTACTCAACATGGGATGTACACGGTGAAATCAGGCTATTGGGTCGCGAGAAACATTCTGAACCGCGAGATTGAAGAGAAGGTCGAGGAACCAAATGTAACCAGCTTAAAGGCTTTTGCTTGGAAAATTCAGGCTCCACAGAAGATCCGCCACCTCATGTGGCAGCTGGTATCTGGATATATAGCAGTAACGGGGAACCTGACAAGACGCCATATGCGTTGAGACAATTTTTGCCCAGATGTGGTGAACCAGATGAATCTGCTATCCATGCTATCTTTGAATGTTCACCGGCCTTGCAGACATGGGACCTTGCATCGACACCCTCACGCCCAGGAACCTTCCCAACAACGAGCATATTCGCTAATATGGACTACCTGTTTTGGCGAAAGAATGAGATTGAAGACCCTGATCTAGATAAGGACCCCTACCCTTGGATTGTTTGGTTCTTATGGAAAGCACATAATGATAAACTTTTCAGAGGCATCTCAAGAGATCCCCTTGAATTGGTGAGATATGCAGAAAGTGAATGCAATGCTTGGTTTGAAGCAAATGCAAAGAACACTGAAGTAGACCAGACAGACCAAATGGATATGCAAGCCCTAAGCTTGAAAGACATTTGTCTAATGGATGGATCATGGACTGAGGGAGCAGACCGAAGTGGATATGGATGGGTTTGGATGGATGGGCTAGGGAAGGAACAGCTCTTAGGTCTAAGGAACAAAGAAAACCGTATGTCTTCTTTGCACACAGAATTGGAAGCACTGATGTGGGCGATAGAGATGATGATTCAGAATAATGCATGTCAGCACTTTGGGACGAACTGTAGAAATTTTATGGCAATGATACAGAACCCGACGAACTGGCCAAGCTTCTCGACAGAATTAGGTGAGCTCGCCCTACTGAAGACCAGACTCCCAGACTTTAAGATCTCATATGTGCCAAGGACGCAAAATCAGACTGCAGATGGTTTAGCTAGGGTTGGACGTAATTTTTATCGTCAGTTGTGTTTTGTTGGTTGTTCTATTCCGGTATGGATTCTCAGACCACCTCAAGCTTGAATAATAGAATACCCGTTTGATGTTAAAAAAAAAATGAAAAGTGAAGCTGTTGGGTCCAACACAATGTCTCTATTTTAATAAAATAGATAGTATGAATTTTTTTTGGTAAACAATAGTATGAGATTTGTTACCATAAAATTTATATTGCTTATATACTCCAGTGAATGTGAATCGCATTAAGTACGAATATATCAGTTATGTACTTTGAACTTGGTTAACAGGAATCCTTGTTCATCACATCAAAGCTATGTCAGTTATATATGACATCTATTCAGATCACATATTTGCTATTTAATATGATATGAAATATTATTGGAACTTTATAATCGAAGTAAGCGTATGGGTTGAAGAGCAAGTTTCTACTCTTATAAGATTTTATTCAGTTAATGTCGTATATACCTATATTTATGCCCAAAATTATTGAGTTTAATGTGCTACCTGTTGATTCTTCTATATATACCAAGTGACTCATCATACTGCAATTGATCCAAATCAAAAACTCTTGCCTCTTTATATAAGTTTCTCTTGCTTAAGTTTAAAATGGCTAGTGTAGAAAGAATTTATTATTGGAAGAAAATCACCAATGCTGTTATTTTGTTCTTCTTACTCTCATCCTACATCTGTTTTGTATTCTATCTATGAGATAAATTTCAATTCATTGACTAAAATTGATAACAAGCCAGGTTCGTTTAATGTATTTTTCTGCATAGTTAGTCTAATCTACGAGTTTCAAAAAAACACATAGAATCAACGTAGTGGAAATATTTCCGAAATCAGTAAAACAAAAAATAGAGAGCCTGTAAATGCTTAAGGCGTTAAGAGAAATAGACGCATATCATTAATTATTGTTTTGCTCTTTCTGCCCATAAGATCTATTCAACATATTTTCGGCTTACTGTTAATGTTAGCGATTGTGTTAGCAATAATAATATCATCCACATAAACCAACACCACCACAAACTCATTCTTCAAAGTTTTCACAAAGAGAGTGTGATCTCCATGACTCTTTTGAAAACCCATCATGAGTAATGATTCAGAAAAGTTTCTAAACCACTGCCTTGAAGCCTGTTTTAGGCCATAAATCGATTTCTTGAGCTTCAAGACTGCATTTGGTGGAACAAAGTCCCCTTGTTTCATTAGTCTCTCTGCATAGCCATCTGGTAACTTCATGTATATTTTTCCTCAAGATCGCCATTCAGAAAAACATTAGATATTTCAAGTTGTTGTAAAACCCAACATTTGGAATCAGAAATTTTGAGCAACAACTTGATAGTGACCATCTTAGCTACAGGGGAAAAACTCTCATTGAAATCCACACCCTCCTTCTGCGTATGACCTTTTGCTACAATCCGAACTTTCCTTCTCTCAAGAGTCCCATCAGAATTAAACTTCAGAGAGTACAAAACTCTACAACCCACTGATTTCTTCCCTTTCGGTAAACTCATAAGATCTCATGTGTGTGTAGTCTCCATAGCACTGAACTCCAAATCTGAAGCATCACACCATTCCTTGTCTTTCTGAGCCTCAGCGTAAGATGTAGGAATATGGATTTGGGTAATGGAATTAATATAAGTGTTATGAGATGGAGAGAGTTTAGAATATGAAAGAAAATATGATATAGGATGAGGAATCTCAGGGGTAAGAGCATAGCAATGGTAGTCTTGGAGATGAGAAGGGACTTTCTTAATTCTGGAGGTAGAAATTTCTGGTGTAGGGGAAGGGATGGAAGGCCTTATTGGTGGTATAGAGGGGTGACTATGAATGACTAAGGACTCAGAAGACTTCGGTGTGAACCATTCATCAATCTGTAAATTAGAATTTGTCTTCAGAGGAAACAAGTCTTCATGAAACACAACATTCCGAGAGATAAAGATCTTATTAGACTCCAAATCCATTATCTTGTAACATTTAAATCCAGCTGGTTAACCTAAGAATATACAGGCTTGAGAACGAGGAAGAAACTTGTGTCTTTGCTTAGGTGAGGTAGAACCATAGCATAAACAACCAAATGTCTTCAAATGAGTATAATTAGGACTTGTACCTATGAGTATCTCATGTGGTGTCTTGTTCTGCAGCAACTTTCAGGGAGTTCTGTTGATTAAGAATACTGCAGTGAGAACACAATCACCCCAAAATGAGAGCGGTACATGAGACTGAAACATCAAAGATCTTGCAACATTGAGGATATGTTGATGTTTTTGTTCCACCACCGAATTCTGTTCAGGTGTCTCTAGACATGAGTGATACGCAGTAATACCTTTCTCCTGATAAAACTTTGCAAATGTCAATTCCTGAGCATTATATGATCTTACGACTTGACTGTTGCTCCATACTTAGTCTCAACATGTTTGATAAAAACCGGGAAGACAGTGACTACTTCATCTTTGGTTCGAAGCAGATAAATCCAAGTAGCTCTGGAATGATCATCGACAGTTGTGAAGAAATAACGAAATCCATCTATTGTCTCAACTGAAAATGGACCCCAAGCGTCAATGTGCAACAGCTCAAAATTGTCTTTACAAATATTATTGTGAGAAATGTAAGACAACTTCTTCTGTTTAGCAAGATGACAACAATGACAATAAGATTTGCTTTTATTCTTCATCTTTGTCGTGCCTAAAACTTCAGAAATTGCATCAAGCTTTGTGTAAGATGGGTGGCCAAGCCTCTGATGCCAAGTACCAATATCCACCAACGCATGAACAAAGATGGAAGGATCTTTAGCCTCAAAGACATAGAGGTTCTCCAATCTTTTATCCTGACCAATCGTCAACTCCCTGATAGGATCCTGAATTGTGCAACAAGAAGGATTAAATGTCACAGAAGAATTGATATCATCAGTCAATGAACTTATGCTCAGAAGATTCAATCTAAATTCTGGGATGAACAACACATTATGGAGAAGAATGTGTTCATTCAATCTAATGGTACCCACTCCACTAACTTTAATAGTTGTACCAGTAGGGAGATTCACAGAGCTTGTGAGAGATGCATCCATAGATAAAAACTGAGATTTATCATGTGCCACATGGTGAGTAGCACCAGAATCTATCACCCAAGTTTGAGTAGATAGACGTTTCTGAGAAACCAAAAGAATACCAACAAAATTATATGTTGTGGGTGAAAAGAAAATACCAGACGGAGACGCAACAGCTTCATTTGATGTTTGTAACTGAGAGCTAAACAGAGCAGTGAACTGTTGAATCTGATCCTTGGTAAGATTTCCAATCATATTCTCAACAGTTTGTGGCTTATCAGTGACTGGAGAAGAGTTTGAAAGAGAAGCCTGAGCTGCAACCTTATTAGAGAGTGAGCTTTTCTCATGTGGTTTATATTTAGAGACAGAACCAGGTGGGAAACTATGCTTCTTATAACAACTCTCAGCTATGTGACCCACACGTTTGCAGAAAGAACATATAGGTCTACATTTGTTAGGACCAGTCTGGACATAAGAGATGGATTGATCAGCCAATGGAGAGTGTGATTATGAGACTTGAAATGTAGCTTGAGTTGGAGCTACAGTTGAGAATCCACGTTGACTGTCATCTTGATCCAGAATAATATAGACTTCCACCTGAGAGGGAAGAGCTTTCTTCATGATAATCTGACGACGTATGATGGCATAAGACTCATTGAGACCTGCCAAAAACTTGAAAATCTTTGCACGTTCAGCTTTCAATTGAATACGAGTAGCATTACCACAGATACAAGGTTGATCTGGATCATCAGTACTTTCCAAACTATCCCATAAGGTCTTTAGCTTAGTATAGTACTCAGATAAGGACATAGATCCTTGACATAGATCTTGTATCTCCTGAGTCAAGTTAAACATCCATGGGAGATTTGTCATACGAAAACGGCCATGTAGATCTCTCCAGATATCTGCAGCATCATTCAAACGTAGAATATTACGATAGATCTGTTGAGAGACTGAGTTCAAGAGCCACAATTTTACCATACGATTGCATCTTGACCACAAATGAAATTTTGGATCGGATTCACTTGGACGAGTTAATGATCCATCAATGAATTCAATCTTATTTTTTGCATCTAACTCAATACGCATAGCAGCATTCCAATCATCATAGTTAGATTCATCAAGACGAAGAGAGATGAGTTGCAAACCGGGATGATCGGCGCTGTGAATAATCATAGGTGACTGATTCGGATCAGTCGAATCTGGTACAGGAAATGGTGGAGGAACGGTGATCGGTGGAGACGGTGGAGGAGTATTATCTGCTGTACTGGAACGAGAGGGGATCCGAGTTGTACGACGAGCTGAGCTTGTAGAAACTCTGATTTGAGATGATTTCCACGTGACATTCTTAATCGAAACCATCAGAGAAGATGATCAGTGGACAGATTGATCGGAGATGATGAGATCCAAGAAGATTCAAGCGGAAGAAGAAGAGCGCATGGCTCTGATGCCATATTACGATCCGTGAGAAGGGATAAGAAAATTTTGTTACGAGTAACTGAATTTTCTCATTAATGAAATAGATGAACTTTACAACGACTATATACACTTGTGTACTAAACCGAAACTAACCAATATACAATTAATTAAACTGAACCAGGTGAAAAGAAACCGGTCAGTACTACTTAGTCTCCAATATTGACACCCATGAGTTGGCCACCTTTCTTAACATATCTTGCTTCCCATAGTCAGAGGATACTGGCCTCGCTGTGTGTGAACTTCGTCCAGCTTTCATATCGGCGAGAAGAGTAAACGAATTAGCCACTGATAAATTTGATGCTTGACAGGGAAAGACCTTTGGGGTTTGGTCTCAATAGGACTCTTCATCTCTAACCACCACAACAACATTTATAGGTGAAGCTTCATGACGTTACCATGGAGGATGCTATGGTCGATCTAACTTTGAAGAGTGGGTGGACTGGGTGAAGAAATCGTTAATTCTTGGATAAATTCAGATGTTACTTAGATGGCCAAGATCGGTGAGATGCTGAAGAACCACGACGTATGTCTCTGTAACTCCAGTTTTGAAAATTGAACAAATCCTAATCTAAACTGGGCCTTTTCAGATTAAAAAATAAAACCCACATATTTAGTTTTACCATAGCATAGTCCAAAACAATAATAAAACGACAGAAGCATAATCCAAAAAAAAAAACAAGAAGCAATTTTGGAATAAGGTTTTACTGATGCCACGTGGCTTTTTTCCCATAAGAAATTTTTTTTATTTTATTATAATAAATAGATAGATAGATAGATAAATAGATAGATAGATGACAAATCTTCGTCCTTACCATACATATACAAATAAAACCCTTTCAAGTGTTTACTTTTTTACATGTTTCTTATAAAGTTATTTTATTGAATCAAACCTGTGAAACAAAATACTCGTATACAAGATTAGGTAAAAATAACACCATGGATTGGGACTTTGTTGTCCTTGAAAGCTACACCATGACTAGTAACCACCTCAAATTCCTCAGATTCATTATTTTTCAAAACCTGCCTTCTCAGTTCAACTGAACCGCAGTAGGTTACTATGTACTTAGTTGCATCTTTGAAGTATTTGTTAAGTATAGTACCGACTCCTGCCCCTGCAAGATTTTCAAAACCAAAACAAAAAAAAAACGGTTCCAAGATCAGAGAAATGAAGCTTTGAGATAAAACTAAAACTCATATATAATCTTTATTACTTACAATGAGTGACTAATAACAAATTATCAGAAGGATACTTGTCTGCAAGAACCTTCAATGTATTAACATATCGTTCTCTAAAGCCTTCCGCAGATTCTCCCCATTGTGGCAACTAAACATAACATAGAATCGAGGAAAAAATATATACAATCCAGATTATACTTAAAGGAAATAACAAGAAGATTAAGAAGGAACCTTCCAAAACATGTAATAGAGAGAGCACCTCTTTATAAGCCATATCGACATTAATGTCAAATGTTCCCTCAGGAAACATAGCTTGTAGATCTGAAATCTTGAATTCAAACTTCCCATCTTCGGGAGCAACCTCACTCTTAATAGCCGTTGTGTTCAGCATCTCACACAATCCAAATTCAATAACTACCTGACTCAGAGGAGACAAAGCATAAAGCAAATGCCTCAACAAAAATTATCAAACTATTGGGTGTTTACCAACATTAGTATCGGGTAAAAGTACACATTTATGATACAACGTCAGTTGAAAGCAGGAACAGTCATTGGCAAACCCTAATGACACATTTGATCTGATGTTAAAATTTTTAAGAACAATTTTACATTAGTTGTATGATTTGAATTCTTTTTTTTTTGTTAAGATTTAGTTTTAAATGTTTAAAGCCCCATAAATTTCAGACACCAGTTGCTATATTACAAAAACATCGATTCTATTTCAACATAAGTATATATATATAAATATTATTGTCTAACCTTGAGCTTAGAGTTATCGATGGCAGGCACGTCTTTAGAAGACATAGCGTTGTGATCGAGATTGACGGCTGAGAGAGCGGCGACGACTTCAGCAGCAGTCTGGATGCAGCGGAGGAAAGGAGAAACAATGACACGGTGAATCGGAAACCCAACCTGAGATCGGATTCTTTGACCGGTTTGAAAGGCTCGAACCTTACCGTCTTGAGCAAGCGGAGGGTCCCATGGTCTCCCAGCAGTTGAAACCCAAAGTGGCTCGCGGCGGTCGGCTCGATCACCGTGACGCATCATGATGACATTTTGGTAGCCATTCATGTTTGCTTTAGCAGATTCCATTGCTCTTTTTCTGTGTGGTCTTTGCCAAATCGAAGAGGTATAAGGTATTTTATACATGCAACGATCTTTTGGTTTTTTTCTGCTGTAATAAAGTTTATTCTACAATAGGAGATTGCTAGGAAGATCATCAATACTCAAGAAGTTATTGTTTTTACATGACTAATTGAAATGATGACGAAGTTTACATTAATATAAATCCAACACTATAAGAAACTGCCTAGCATGAACCGATTAAAACGGTATTCGATTTAACTGATTCAATTGTTGCTCTGATTGTTGGTCATGGCGTAACCTTTGGGAGTACGTTGGACGATCATTACTAAGAAGTTACTCAATATTTGTTTTCTGCATGACTTATTGAAATAACTACGAAGTTTACATCTATATACTCTAACACTAGGTGTTATGTCCCCACATCTATATACTCTAACACTAGGGCATAATGGTGTTATAAATATTTATAACTATTTAGTGCATTACAAAAATTAAAAAAATTTGCTATTTTTACTTTAGTAATTTTTATACATATTTATATTTCTCAAATTTAATTTTCTAGGAGTAAAATTTTTCTTTTAGGATAACAACCTTATATATATATAATATATATATATATATATATATATAGGATTTATCATCTTTTAAATAAGTTTATTATTTTATCCAATATATATAGGACTTATTTTTAAGAATATATACGTTTCTGATAATTTTTTTTTATTAATTTCTAATAATAAATAAAAACCAAAATAGCACTAATCCAAGTTTTTATCCCCAAAGTAGCACCCAAGGCCAAACGTCACAAAATAGGTTTCATTAAAGGAATGATTTACTTTTATGCTTCTTTTTTGACTAATTTAAAAATAATAGATTAATAGATGATTTATCTTTATGTCATTTCTTTGACTAATTTACTCTAAAACCCTAAACCATGAAACTTCAACATTAAACCTTATACCCTAAAACTTACATTATAAACCCTGAAACATCAATTCTAGAATCCTAAACCTTGAAACTTCAAATTTAAGCCATAAACCTTATAACATCAATTCTAAACTCTAATCACTAAAACTTCAACTCTAAACCCTAACATTGAAACTTCAACTCTAATCCCTAAACCCTAAAATATCAACTCCAAAACACTAAACCCTAAAATTTTAACTCTAAAACTTAAACCCTGAAACATCAACTCTAATACCCTAAAACCTGAAACTTCAACAGTAAACCCTGAAACATCAACTCTAAGACCTTAAACCCTGAAACTTCAAATCTAAACCCTAAATCCTGAAACATCAACTCTAAAACTCTAAACCCTGATGTCTTACCTCTAAACCCATGAAACATCAACTCTAAAAAACCCTAACCCTGAAACTTCAACTCTAATCTCTAAACCTTGAAATATCAACTCTAAAACCCTAAACTTTGAAACTTCAACTCTAAACCCTAAATCATCAACTCCAAAACCCTAAAACCTGAAACTTCAACTCTAAACCCTGAAACATCAACTCTAAAACCTTAAACCCTGAAACTTCAAATCTAAACCCTAAATCCTGAAACATCAACTCTAAAACCCTAAGCCATGATGTTTTACCTCTAAACCCCTGAAACATCAACTCTAAAACCCTAAACCCTGAAACTTCTACTCTAAACCCTGAAACATCAACTCCAAAACTTTAAACCCTAAAACTTTAAACCCTAAAACTTTAAACCCTAAAACTTCAACTCTAAAATCCTAATCCCTGAAACTTCAAATCTAAAGCCCTAAACTCTGAAAATCCAACTCTAAAACCCTAAACCCTGAAACTTCAACTCTAAACCCTTAAACTTCAACCCTACACCCTAAACCTTGAAAATCCAACTCTAAAACCCTAAGCTATGAAACTTCATCATCAAACCCTAAAACATCAGTTCTAGAACCCTAAATTTTGAAACTTCAATTTTAAACCTTAAACCATGAAAAATCAATTCTAAACCCCGAAACTTTAACTCTAAACCCTAACCCTAAAATTTCAACTCTAAACTCTAACCACTGAAACATCAACTCTAAAACCCTACACCCTGAAACTTCAACTCTGAACCTTAAACGCTGAAACATCCACTCTAACCCCTGAAACATCAATTCTAGAACTCTAAACCCTGAAACATTAAATCTAGAACTCTAAATCTTCAAACTTCAAATTTAAACCCTAAACCCTGAAACTTCAACTCTAAACCCTGAAACATCAATTCTAGAACCCTAAACCTTGAAAGTTCAACTCTAAATTCTAAACCCTGAAACTTCAATTATTAACCATCCTAAAAAAATAAAATTTAAACCCTAAATCTAAACCCTAAACTCTAAACCCTAAAACATCAATTCTAGAACCCTAAACCTTGAAAGTTCAACTTTAAATTCTAAACCCTGAAACTTCAATTATTAACCATCCTAAAAAATAAAATTTAAACCCTAAATCTAAACCCTCAACTTTAACCCTTAATCCCTAAACCTTATATCTTTCAGAAATTCGAATCCTAAACCCCAAAACCCTTAATATATTAAAATCCAGATGATATATTAATGTTCATGAGAGGCATCACGATAATGTATTATAAAATTTGGAAAGCCTTGAGCGTGTACAGGATGGGCTTCCGGATAATATATTAATTTTCAGGATAATGTATTATAAAATTTGGAAAGCCTTGAGCGTGTTCAGAATGAGATTCTAGATAATATATTAATCTTCGGGATAATGTCTTATAAAATTTTGAAAACCTTGAGCGTGTTCAGGATGGGCTTTCTCGGATAATATATTAATCTTCAGGATAATGTATTATAAAATTTGGAAAGCCTTGAGCGTGTTCAGGATGGACTTCCTGATAATATATTAATTTTGAGGATAATATATTATAAAATTTGGAAAGCCTTGAGTGTGTTCATGATGGGCTTCCAGATAATATATTAATCTTCAAGATAATGTATTTTAAATCTTGGAAAGCCTTGAGCGTGTTCAGGATGGGCTTCCCGATAATATTTTAATCTTTAGGATATGATTTAAGGTTTAAGGTTTAGAGTTGAGGGTTTAGAGTTGATGTTTTAGGGTTTAAGGGTTTAGATTTTAGTATATTAATCTTCAGGATAATGTATTCTAAAATTTAGAAAGCCTTGAGCATGTTCATGATAGGTTTCCGGATTGAAGATAATGTATTATAAAATTTGGAAAGCCATAAGCGTGTTCATGATGGGCTTCCAGATAATATATTAATCTTAAGAATGGACTTTTAAGTTTCAAGGTTTGGATTTTAGGGTTTAGAGTTGATATTTTAGGATTTATGGCTTAAATTTCATGTTTTAGAGGTTTGGGTTTAGGGTTGATTTTTTTAAGGTTTTGGGGTTTAGGTGTAGAGTTTAGGGTTGAAGGTTTAGGTTTTAAGATTTAAGGTAAATTTTTTAGGGTTTAGGCGTTAAAGTTTAAGGTTTAGGGTTTAGGGTTTGGAGCTGATGTTTTAGGGTTTAGAGTTTAGTATATTAAACTTCAGGAAAATGTATTCTAAAGTTTGGAAAGCCTTGAGCGTGTTTATGATGGGTTTCAAGATCAAAGATAGTGTATTATAAAATTTGGAAAGCCATGAGCGTGTTTAGGATGGGCTTCCAAATAATATATTAATCTTCAGGAAATACTTTAGGGTTTAAGGTTTAGAGTTTAGGGTTTAGAGGGTGTTTTAGGTTCTAGAGCTTAAAGTTCATGTTTTAAGGGTTTGGGTTTAAAGTTGACTTTTTTAAGGTTTAGGGTTGAAGGTTTAGGATTTAAGGTAATTTTTTAGGGTTTAGGGTTTAGAACTTTTGTTTAGTGTTTAGGTTTTAGGGTTTTGAGTTTACTTTTATTGTTTAGGGTTTAGTGTTGATAGTAAGGTTTAGAATTGAGGTTTCAGGGTTTAGAGTTTAGAACTGAGGTTCGGGTAAATTTTTTAGTGTTAAATATTTAGAATTTATTTACAGGGTTTAAGGTTCAGTGTTGATGTTTTAGGGTTTAGAATTGAGGTTTAGAGTTTAGGGTTGATTTTTTAGGGTTTAGGGTTTAGAGTTTTTATTTTAGGGTTTAGAATTTTAGTGTTGATGGCTAAGGGTTTAGAACTGTGGTTTAGGATTTATATTTTACTTTTTAAGGTTTAGTGTTGATAGTAAAGTTTAGATTTGAGGTTTTAGGGTTTTGGGTTTATAATTGAAGTTTAGGATTTAGAGTTTATGTTTTATAGTTTATAATTGAATGTTTAGGGTTTAAAGTTAGAATTGTGATTTAGGGCTTAGGTTTTAGGGTTTAGAGTTTATTTCTATGGTTTAGGGTTTAGGTT